AAAAAGGTTTGTTGATTACAAAACTATAATACTGGTTTTAATATTACATCTACTTCTAATTATTTTTTTTTATCATAATTTGGGCAAACATACCAACGAATTGAAACAGAATTACTATTAAACTTTAATCAAAGAGTTTTCTATACAGTTAATTGAAAGGTATTTGTGAAGTTATTAATAATCTTTAAAACAATGAATAAAAATGAAATAAAACACGATTCTATTCCATGTTTCTAGTTAATTTGTCATCTAATTTGATATTAATGAGATATGTAATTATGTAGTGAGACGAAATCTATTTTAGTGATGAAGCATCATCATCATTATAAGAGGGCGGATAATTAAGATGGCGAATGGTATGGTGTCGAGAACCACGTAATGTTAGACACGAAGCCGTGACTTGCACACGAAACTTATGTAAATGGAGGAAAATTATTTCGACGCCTGTTCAAAAAATGCACGCAAAATTTGTAACTATAATTAAGAGAATATCCCTATTAGGCATTAATCATCAGAGTCATGTTATAGTTAACTTACACAAACAATGGTTTTGTGTATATTTCTCATACTAAAATTACCATTAATATAGTTTACCTAATCTTAATTCTTACTAATATTATAAATACGAATATTTAGATGGATGGATGTTTGTTTGAAGGTATCTCTAGAACGGCTCAGCAGACCTCGATGAAGTTTGCCACAAATACAGAACATAGTCTGGAATAACACATAGGTTCCTAATAAAGTTTTTTTTAATCCCGAGCGGACGAAGTTTCGAGCGACAGCTAGTCTTTTCATACATCTGTTTTTGAACATTCCTCAAAAGCAACGGAATATTTTCCGTCTAATAAAGAACACGTTTCCTGCATCTAATAGCGTTGTTCGTCTAAATAATATGTATTCCTTAGTTAAATCGCTTCATAAAGAAATCTTAGTAAAAGAGTGACGAGTGGCGAGTGAAGCCTTTAAGTCCGTCTCATTGATTACTCGAACCTTTGTGGTCCGAACAAAGCAGATACCAGAATAAAGTTGCCACAGAGGGATTAATTCCTTTTTATCGTATTGTCTTATGCGTTAATGTTTTTTTACTAACAAAAAAAGAGCACAACGAATTTTATAGTAAAATCTTACTATCTTTTTAATTACGAAAATTTAGATGCATGGATGGATGTTGGTTAGAAGGTATCTATTTATCTACAAATCGGCTTCTTAGAATGATAGAACACATAGACTACCTATAATCCCGTAAATATGTACGTTTCTCATGGGATTTTGATTCACATAATATTCGATAATTTTGCAGCGGTATTGACAGTCAACACAGTATCGAGTAACAAATGAGATATTTCTCATTCTTTTTTCACCTCATTCTATGTAGACGAAGTCGCGGGCAATAACTAGTTCATATAATTCGTGTTATCCGTGATGAAGTGCTAAGATACGATACAGTTTATTGCAATTAAGTTTGACAAAGTAATAAGTGTCCCCGACAACTAACACGATTTGCATCTTAAAGCTTAGAAAGTTCAACAGATAGCTTCCTGAAACAGGTGGATGTTAACATAGTAAATGCCACGGTGGAGTCAATCTACTTTGGTTGGCATTTACAGTAACTCTAAGGAGCTAGTATGAAACCGTCATAAGTAAGACAGAGCTCACTTAAGGCGTCGTTTTCTTTAAATGTTTAACAACGAATTGTTAAAATTTTCCCAAGGAGATAAAGGTAATGGTAGAAAATAACACTTATTGGGGTTTTCCTTGAAAGGAAACGTTTGTGAACCAATTTTTTATTTTGAAAGATTATATTATAAATATTATTTTATGTCTTTTGTAAAAATGTAGTGGTTTTTAGATGATATAATATAAAAAATAACAAAATAATTTTATGTTGACTGACATTTTGCTATAATTCAACTTCAACGTAGCGAGAACTGACGGTGCAGTGACAGAGCACGTATTACTTGTACGTGGAAGATTATTAAGTTCGAATTCATAGTATTTCCTTAACATACCTATATACATATACAAAGAGCTTCTAAGTTTTATTGTCACTGTTTAAAATTTCCAAAGATAAATACCAACAAAAATATCATTAAGACTCAAAAAGTTTTTTTCCAACCAGTTTATAGCTTTATCAAAATAGGAAAGGATCGTAAATAATAATAAAAACATTCATTTTTATTTACAATCTTAAGCCGGATACACACCTTCAATTTTAACTGGACAGTCGAACTGCACAATTAAAACAGTTAAAACTGAGAACTGTACAGTTTATCTGATTTTTCCTACACATACGATTTAACTTAACAGTCCGACTGTACATTAATACTGTGTAGTTACAAAGTGTGTAAAGCGCTATAGATATCCCTAAATGCATTGTTTTCTATAACAAAAAATACACAAGTCTTAAATTTATAAAAGGTGTTGAAACTTTTATTAAATTACAAAGAGCTTACTCTATGGCAGAACGAGCATGTTACTTAGCAGTTAGGATTTGCATATGCATAGCTACAACGATAATATGCTCTTAGTGTAACGTAATGCCGCGCGTATTACAAACAAATGTGAATCTTAATAAAGAAAAAATATATAACATTAACAAAGATAAGTTGATACAAAAGATCTCCCACAGTTCCAGTAGAACATTTATTTTACAGATATCTTACTAATAATATAAATGCGCATGTTTAGATGGATGGATGGATGTTTGTTTGAAGGTATCTTTGGAACCGCTTAACGGATTTTAATGAAATTTGACACAGATGCAGAATATAGTTTGGAAGAACACATAGGTTACTCATTAGGTGTTTTTTTTAATACCGTGCGGACGGAGTCACGGTCGACAGCTAGTATTCTACATGGATTCTTGTACAAGTGTAATGGTTTATTCATTCTTTAATTTAAAATGGGGAATTTACTAATACCCAATTATACAAGCAAGAATAAAAACTAATCTGAACCAACAATACTGATTGGACAAGTTAATCATAAACTTTAACTCAAAAACTTTCCATATATTTTTTACTAGAGCATAATCTTATCTTATTTTTAAAAAATAATCCATTGATACCAAAACCAGCGTCTTAACGAAAACTTTAGCAGTAAGTACTTGAGTTAATTGCTTTTTTAAGATTCTCCTAGTTGTCAAAACAATATCGTAATATTAATTAATTATAGCTGTAAATTATTTTTTGCCATAATTAAAAAAGTAGTAATTGAATAACCTTGACAATTTTATTTTCTTTATCCTTATATTTACAAATTACACGAGGCAGCTTGCCTTCTTTACAATAAGGAGTCCCTAAAGAATATATTTTAAAAGGTATGAACATAATGCTTCGTCCATAAATGATTTCAAGGTCATTGTAATTAGGTGCAAAATAAGCAAATAATTAAAATAGTAAGCAAGTTAATTTGCTTATAAGCCAAATATATATTAAACCTTGAAAAGACTTTTCAGCAAATATTATTGGCAAAGGAAATTGAGAAAACGCGGGGAAAGCCGTTGAAGAAATCAATTTTAGACTTCATTAATACATTCTTTAATCTAAGCGTTGGCAAACAAGCATGCAGCTATTTAATTTTCATTTCGTTTACCACATATTCAGGCTTAATACCTTTGAATAAATTTGAAGAAAATAAAAAACTATTGCGTAAATCTTTGCGTATCAAATCAAAAGTATATAAATCTACTTTAATGAAAAAGTATGTCAAGAGTATACATATGCAGGTACATAATAAGATGTTAACCATGGCAGGGGTACTCAACATGGGGGCAATTTAAAAATATATTCATTGCAAAAGTTGAATAACATAAAATTAGCCTGTAGGAAAGAAATTCAATATTTGTATTACTGTGTACTTTCCTTAACCATTACGTCATAAAAGAGGTTTGAAATTATGTCTGGGAAATCTATAAGGTTTATTGAAATTGGCCTTCATTATTATTTAACATCGCTTTAATTATGAAATTTTGACTTTGACTTAATTAAAAAAAAATACTGTTTATTCTTTATAGCCCAATGTTTACACGATTCTTTAAAACACTATGCTTCAAAGTTCTAAAAATGAAAAAAAAAAGTGCTGTTCACGAAAAAGAAATTAATAAACTTAAAATTAAACGAATCAGAAAAATACATGGTATTCAATATTTCACTAAACTCATTATCTCCAATTGCTTAATTTATTTGACAATTTTATCGTTCCGTTCAATTATTATCTTTCGATAGTACAGTGGTTTTACCATGAGCTCGCGAAACCAAATGAAATTGTCCCTTTCATTCTCCTTGAAAAAAATAGAGATACAAATATGTTTTGTATAAGTATCTTGAAAATGAAAACTTACAGTAAAACTATCATAAGAAAATTCTTATCTATTATAGTTTAAATTAATGTGTGGAAGATGTAACATGAAAGGCATACTTCGTTACAACCATTCATTACCTAACTTCATTATTTCTTTATTGAAAATGTAATTTATACCAAGCTCTATATTTATAATATCATAGTAATGCGTATTTAATTAAAAAATTTTTTCATCTTTACATATCTAATACCGAACTAATGATGGACATAACACTTAAAACAAAATTCTTAATAAAACATATATATAGCACAATACTTAATTAAATAAACTACTCTATCTAAAAAGTACACTGTATATGTTTCTTATGTTTTACCCAAAAATAAAAAGTAATTATGCAATATAAAACAACATAGCATTTGGTATGAATTTAAAAAGTTAAATGAGTGTTCAGAAGCAAAGTAATCGTCATAATATATTCTAATAATTATGTTCTATATTCAAAATCAAAATTATATTCTTTATAAACTAATATGACGTTTCCCGTATATGATTACGTTTAAAAAAGTTAAATGAGTGTTGACAATAGTATTTGCATTAGCGGGATGCAGGAGGCGCGCAGGGCGGCGCCCGCCCAAAGCCGAGCGTTGGGTATATAAGCCCGCGCGGAGGCTGTCACGGCACAACCTTCCGAACACACAACCGCCAAACAGTCAGCTGAATCAGGTGAGCTGATATATCGGAATATTTATATTTATTTATTTTATTGTTAGATAGATTATATGAAATTTAATAAGTATTTTTTGTAGTTTATTTTAATTTTTTTTATAACTTTTTATCGTGTTTTTGTGTAGTTAGAAAAGTTATAAGCTGTATTTTACAGTGTTGTAAAATGAAATTTACTTCCTTAAAAATATAATCATTTGTTTTTCTCAGTTTCAAAATGCGTATTATAACAGTTAGGCATTAATTAAAAATATTATCATAATTTTCTCATTTTAAAATTGCAATATCTACCTATATTATAAAATCGTATTACTTCTTAATTTTTATTTAAATTTTAGCAGTAAAGATCTTTTTTTAATTTTAATTTAGATTTTTTTTATTAAAATACTTTATATTCCATTTTAGTTGCCACCTCTTTTTATACTTTCCTGAAACGGTAGTATTTTTTTTGGAATAAAAAATTTCCAATCTATGTCCAATTTTTTTAATTACGTAACTTTTGCAAAAAACATAGACACGTTCCTTTTAGTATTTTGTCATGATATTTAATGTTTTCCGTAAACACAATATTTACTTTTAAAGGAAATTTAAACTTTGATTTCTATTAAAGTCAAGCAATCAAATATCGTTCTATTTTTATAAATGTAATTATTGTTAATGTTATAACTTAAATGTCGGGATTTGAATCCTTACCAACACGTAGCAAGGAGTAACATACACTCTTACGATGTCTTTACTTTCTATTATCCATACCTACATGTAAATAAAAAAGGGTTGATATGTCAATTTGTCTTTTTGTGCCATTCAATGCCCTGAATTAATTTCGTTAGTAATTTGTAGTTTCATTTGTTTAACCCATTTAAATTTAAAATCGTAGGACCTTTATTCGTATAAATTTCTTTAATATTCTATGTGCCTTTAGAGTCTGTGTGTATTCCATGTAAAGTCCTCTAAAAAGAACGTTATGTTAAAACGTATATGAAACTTTTTCATTTTTCTTTTTTTTAACAGTAAACCAAGTCTTTTTAATAGTAAACCAATTTTCACTTGCACAGATTATAATACATTAACTACACATAGCACATCCTGTATTCATAATTCTGCATCTAAAATTTACGTAACGTAGGACCTTTTTATTTATTAGCGAACTAAATACCAGGTTAAATGAAGTTTTAAACGAGACCCGTGAGCCTTTTTAATCCACACTTTTGTGGTTAAATTTAATTATTCAATTATGATTCATGATCAGACTTTGTCTAAAACAACATTCATCAAAGTTAGAATTTTTTTGCTTTACTGAAACTAAAATATTTTAAGCTATGTACATATTTGATGAAAATTAAAAAGTTTCGAGTGTAATTAAAGCTTGAAAGTAGAGAGAGTGTCAAAAGAATTTATTTGCGCGTTCCAAAAGGACAGGCAAAAACACTGATCAAATTTGAATCTATCCATATTCTTAATTCTCCGTTTTTTAGTACAAAAATTCGTAATTTAATGTTACCCCTAATATCGGTCTTTAAATAACTTAATAGATGTCCTAAATGAACTTGAGATATGAAAATACAAAATAGCCGCCCCCACTATAACTTACGAATTGCATTTAGATTGAACGCGTAGGTTAACATGAGCATCTATAAATAAAGCAATGAAATATATTCGATTGATAATGATACGATATTTTTAGACGTAAAAATTACTAGCAATCAAATGATATTATCCTTTTGCACGTGTAACATTTCTCTGAACCTTGAGCATGGGTTGGAGGATTGACAGATTAAGAAATTATTGAATTCACTCCACATAGTCATTAGACGACTCCACGAGTAAATGTTGAATGAGTGCTAGTAGATAACAAATTATTGCATGTTATGAGTAAACAAATTATAAACGCGCATGTAAGGAATTATGTCAATCTACTTGACTCTTTAGATATCAACTTTGAATTAAAGCTATCGTATCGTACTTCGATATCTAATAAAAAATATAAGATGATCAAACAGTACAATTTATGGTTAAATTACAAAACGCGGGGCAAATGCAAAGGAACCTTTAAACATTAGCCGACATATGTTAATAAGATTATGTTTTTACTAGCAGTCGCGTGCGTCTCGTGTTGTTCTTATTCTTATTATTATTTTTACAAAACAAAATCTGTCACTAAATTATTATAAGTGTGGGTATCAACTGCAGTGACATTTGTATCAATAAACAATATATATTTTGGTCTCTATTTTACTCTAAGAGAATATAAGAGATGTCAATATGAATGAATAAAAGTTACATTGCAGTGGAGTTCTAGATTTAAACAACAACGTTGTCAATAACACGTTCGCGTTAAACGAAACTAATTACAAGAAAGTTATTGTATTTCAAATGAAAAGACCACAATGCTCGGGACATAAATAAGAGATATAACTTTTCTCTGTGATTGTATCTGCTACTGTCACATCATGTTACATTTACACATCGACAAAGTTATTTTCGATAAAATAATAAGGTATTAATTACGTGATGATGAAAGTATTAAACGTGATTGTACATTTAATATTTACACTTTCGATTTGAATATTAAACGAAAATATTTGTATCTTCTCGATTAAACAGCTTTAACAAATGCTTTTTTTAATCTGTTGTTACTCAATTATGGTGTTACACGAATTATTTGTAAAAATGAAATTGAATACAAATTGTTTTTTGTCGTCGTACTTATAACGGCGTAGCGCTACAAACTACTACGATGCCGTAGACTGCTACGTGGTTACGAAACACTCACAATTTACTAAATGTTTCTGGAGTTTAAAAAAGGTGCGAAAGTGATACATTCGGATCAATAATTGAATTGGTATAAAAGCCGACTTTAAAATAAGAAGAGAGAGTTGTCTTTTATTTTTAGTGCAATTTTAAATGACAGTTTTAAGTAAACTATAACAAATGGATGTTCTGGAAAACGATCGAGTATTATTTTTATGTCCTGACCCAATTCTAAGTAATTGCAACTTCTACATTAAATAGAGTAATGACTCTCGGTTGAAAGTTGAAAAATAATACTTACTGTTATAATTCAACTAATTTTATGAAATGAAAATATATTTTGTTTCAACGAGAAAATTATACACAATATCTACACAAACAAACAAAGAGACCGATTAATAATTTGCACACATTTATTCTACCTACACATTCTATCTACCTAGACGAATCCTACCTATTTTCGTAGATTTAATAAACTTAACAAATATGTTTGCATATATCTTAATATTAACTTAATCATAACTTAATAATCGACTAAAAAGGTTATTTAAAAAAACAAATAATGAAAGATAGCTATAAAACAAAAAGCGTTACATCAATATTCTCGACGAGGAAGCATGTAACTTAATTTCAACTCAGGAAGCGATAACTATAGATTAATAAGAGAAGATGTAGAGCCAATAATTATATTAATATCCGCATCTAATCAATATCAACAAGCGTTCGCGAGGAATACTAAACAGTAGCTTTATGTAGACGTATTAACTATGTATAAGGAAAAGAATGGCTGATGATAGGAAATGTGACCCTTCGAGCTATTAAAAATTTTTTTAAGTTATCAACACTATAAATATTTAATAAAATTACGTAATTCTAGAATATAATTAGATGTGTATGTAAATGTAGTTGGAAGATATTATGCACTTATTTTAAACCAAACATCTTCAAAAGAAAAATGAAACTACAGAATGGGATACGTAGTAATAGTCCAGAACAAAATATGTTACGAGTAGTCATTTGTTTAATAAATATTTCAGTGCGAACTATAGCCGTTGATCATTTGAGAAAACAACAAAAATGTCCTTTTAGCACTAAATGAGAATATTATGTGTTTGTCTTTATTTTAATTCGACTCTACATAATTTTCGTACATTTTGTACAACGAGCTTGGATGGATAATTAAGTAAAGACATACTACTACTATCAACGATGTAAAAATTATTCACGCAGCACCAAATGAAATTCGTGCGGGTATTTTAATGAGAAACTGTTATCTAGCGTGACAAAAGGTCATAATTTTTTTATGACCGTTGAGAAATTTAAATGTGTTAATTCATATTTTATTCATTCACTTCAATACTGATAAAAATATATTTTCAGAATTATGTACTTTATGTTTTTATTTGTTATAATTTACAATTTGAAATTATATTAGAAGCATGAAGTTTAAACTTACTAACATTTATGTATCAAGTAAGTTAAGTTTCACATGTAAGGTAGCATATTTAAGCGACACAACTTCCTTAGTCAGAGAATTCAACTTATTTTCACCCCTTAAAGGCGAAGTCCTCATGATCCATCACCCTAGTTTAGACACCAGTCCCTGTCCATTGGGGTAAAACAATACAGTTATTTTTTTAAACATTTTTTAATATAACAGCAATTGTTATCAGGTACAATGATGCGTGTCGGGCGATTTGCTGTTGTCATAGCCGTCATATTGGTCTGCTGCAACGCTGATCCACACAGGGTAAGAAAAAAGTTTACTGCTTTAAAGAAATCCACCTTTGTCATACTTAAAAACAAACTTCTATTCTCATCTAATATTGAAATGTGCATACATAAGTTTTATTGAAAATTTTTAAGAGTATTTTTCCGATAGTTTCCCGGATTTGCTAATAAATTACATATTTTTTTTCCAAAAGATGGCGTTGTATCTAACTCATCAAATATTAAACAGTACATCGTTTTCTTGGCATTCATTATTATTATTTCAAAAACGTTATTATTATATCAGAATTAATTTAAATACCAATCTAAGAAAGTTCTTTGTATTGCTATATTTCATGATACAAATTGAAAATTAAACTTTCTGAACTCGATACAGATGTTACTTGCCAAATTAGATGATCGTCTGTAATTCGTTTCCGGGAATATAGCTCGCTGCTCTTCGATTATGTAAATTGTAATACGTTTAGGAACTTATCACTTTGATCAACCGAATGGCTATTTTTCATTATAAGACATTAATTTCCAAACGCCAAAAATATAAGTTTAAAATACTAGATCGAGAATAGTTTAGTCAGGTATAAAAGAAGACAAAATAAAAGGAAAACTAACGAATAATAAATATTTGTTACCTTCTTTACAATTAACTTTGGTCTTCAAGGAGGCTTCTCACGAAGAAAATACATTAAGTACAAAAGCTCCCAATCAAATATTTAATCACTGTATTTGTAAAATTCGAACAAAACATTATAACTGTAGTTGAGAAGCTTAAATAAGCTTTGTGGAAATAAAATGTTTTACAAACAATCAAAATCACTAACGACTGTTATTATTGAGCAGTAACTAGACATTCAGTTAACACGAATAGTAAATAATATTATTAGTCGAATGATGTCAATATTTATGAAATGAAGACGAAACTTAAGAAGATTAAAATCTTATTTTAATTTACCTAATTTAATACACAGGAACAAGATGGGAGCGTAAGTGATCACAGCTCAGGACGCTACGACGCTAATGGTAAGTATTTAAGTTTTATAAGAGAAAAAGCAAAGCACAGTGACAATATCAATGCACTTGGGAATGCTTAGGTTACACACGCCCCAAGCACAAATCCGTTAATCCACGTTAAACACAATATTCACAACCTTATCCAAATAAAACACACGTATGTAAAATAATTCCGGATTATCTCTTTAAATATATTTGCACTATGAATATGACTCAGTCCGTGTTATAAAAATCGCACTATTTACCTTGCAATCAATTTTATATCACATTTTTTGTGGTGATGAAAACGCACTTCTCACAAAGTTTGTCTCCGCACAATAATGTTATGTACAATGTTATGTATAATATGTTGTGCACTGTTCATCCCCTGCACTCTCCTACTATAGGTAAGTAATGTTTCTGTTCTATTTTATATAATATAAAACATACGGCAATGATACCACTGCTAAATATGTAGATTTCGTATATTGCATACAAATTCATATTGGAATATGACTCCTCTTACGAATTTTTAAAGTATACTTTTCTGTTACAGGTTTTAGACAAAAAGAATTCGATTACCTATTGAGACTTCTACTGCAAAACGAACATCGGAATGGTGACCGTAACTTAAACGGTATCGGAGGTAGCACTTTGATGGGAAGGAACATTAATGGTGGTCTAGGAGGGAGTACGCTATTAGGACGTAACGTAAACCGTTATGAAGCATTAAAAAGTGGCAATAGAAATTTAAATGGAATCGGTGGCAGTGGAATGCTGGGCCGTGATGTAGGGGAACAGAGAGAATTAAGTGCTCGTTTTGTTGATCCCCTAGGCGGAAGCAACTTCGTTCGCAACTTGGATTCACTTGGCGGAGGAAATTTCGTCAGGAACCTTGATTCACTCGGCGGAGGAAATTTCGTCAGGAACCTTGATTCACTTGGCGGAGGGAATTTTGTCAGGAACCTTGATTCACTCGGTGGGGGGAACTTGGTGAGGAACCTTGATTCACTAGGCGGGGGAAACTTTGTCAGGAATCTTGATTCACTGGGCGGCGGAAATTTTGTAAGGAATCTGGATTCACTGGGCGGGAGTAACTTTGTCAAGAAGAACCTTGATCAGATCGGAGGACCTAACCTTGTTAAGAGAAACTTAGACTCTCTGGGCGGCGGTAATTTCGTTAGAAATTTGGACCCTCTCGGTGGTGATAACTTTATGCGAGCGGTGGAGCTGGGCGAGGGAAACGTTCTTTAAAATTATTCGTAAAATTGTTACAGTTTTCTCACTCGTATAGTAAATAGTAATGGAACAACGTATAGATTGTGATATGAGATAGTTAATACTTGTTTGTCGTTTATTTATTTAAATTGTCAACGTTAAATAGATTTCTTGCAATAACAAAAACTGATTGTGTTTTATTAAAGTTCCCAGCTTTTTATTACAGTAAGTAAAGTGTATTACTAACTTGCAAGGAACATTCACATTACGACCAGCGGACGTTCTTAATGCTCGGATTTAGTTAAAAATATTTTTTTAGCAATTAACATAGTTCAAACTGGGATAATAAGCAACATTGTTTTTTTGTCTTCCGTTTAACTTATTCTTGTCGAAATTTTATACCGATATTGTATTGCCTTGATATCAATGCAATATTTGTGATATTATGCTATAGATTTTTCATACTTCGCATAATCAGGTAAGATTTATGTATCAACCAAGTTCCTTTGTTTGTTCTTATCTTATTTGTTGTCAATTATAATTATACATGACTTCAAACAGGTCACAAAATGCGAAATTTAGATCCCCTGGGCGGCGGAAATCTTGTTCGCGAGGTCCGTGAGTCGAGACATTCCAGCTTCCTGCCGTTTTCAGGAGTACGACGGTTTGAAATTATCGGGTAAGTATTAATATGTAAAAGAAAAACGTTGTACTTAAAAAATTACAGTATTCTCAAATTATTCTTACGCGTTGCTGTGAGCTAGCTGAACTGTTTTTTTTATTCATGCCTACATTTTTACGTGTCACGTTCATACTTGGCTTTTTCTAAGTCTGAACATAACAGACAGTCGAGCATATTATATACAATGTTTGATTAGAACATGCCATTTCTGTAAACTTACAATTTACCCTTTTTATGTATTACGTCATAAAGTGTTCATCATAAATATATCAAAAGCATTTCATACATTCTAACAAATTATTTAAAATTTGTATACCCTACTTATTATTCTACTGCTATTTTTTCAAGATATGTTTTCAAAGTACCGACGAGGACGTAATTATCATATTTTAATTTTATTTACTTAGTTAACCACATCCAAATTTGTACGGTAAAATTAGTATATAAAAGTCATTATTCTTAGTAACTAAACTCTACAGAAAATCTTCATTACTTTGAACTTGCTTAATAACTAACTACGATTGACGCAATATCTAATTACTTGTATTTAATTATCCAGAAACGGCAGACGGCAACTGTTTCCACTGATATCGTCTGATTATTATCGTGAGGATTACCCAAAACGTAACTTCGATGAAATTGATCGGTGAGTAAAACACGGTATACAATATTTTGACACGACAGACCGCCAGGTTCTATCCACACCACCTGGATGGCTGGCGTTCCACAACGGTGCGATTCTCGTGCAATTTCTTGCCTCGCACAGTCGCGTTGTGGAACGGTCTGTCCTCGGCGGTATTTCCAAACCAATACGACTTAGGGACCTTCAAGAAGTGAGCATACCATTTCCTCCATTTCTTCCATCTACAGTTCCTCTGGTGTTGCAGATGTCCATGGGTGTCGTTGATCACCTCGGTGTTCCCGCTGATATTAGACATTACCAGATATCATGATTATTGAAATATGAATTTATATAAGCTACCAAAATTCTTTGCAAATAAATAACATTTTACTTACATTGGAAGTATTTTTGGCGATACATGTTTAAGGGTAAAACATACTCTTTTATACACTTATACATAAACACGTCTATATCCGTAATGTTTAATCACTGGCGGACAAAGTGTTTAAACACGTGTCTAGCTGTATTCCTGAAGTAATTTTTTAACATATTTGATAATCCCCAATACTACTAGAGTTTAACAGTTTAGTGTTATTTATTAGTGTGCACATTAAAGTTTTAGTTCTGCAAAATGTTTTGCCCTTTGTATTTGCAAAATTAAATCTGTAATATCGAAATTTCATCATTGTTAAACATGAAAATAAGTCAACCTTTGCAATCATTAGCCTTAGTATGATTTTAGCAGTAAATTCATACCAAGTATAGCATATATGCAAATGAACGGGTGGTTCTTTGAGTAAGTGTACGTGTTTTAAATTCCTTTTCTCGTGGTAATTACTTTATCTTCACTATATTAGATTGTACAGACATCGACCTATTTCCATAATAGATAGATGGTATTCTCTAACGTCGCTACGTTTTAATGTGTTTGTATAAATTAGAACTGAGAAAAGCAAAAGAAAAATAGTTTAACACAGAAACATTTGCACCTCTTCAATTTTACCGCCGAAAGCGGATTACTTAACAATAAGTGTGACATTTCATTAAAACGTTGTTTTAGTTCACTTTCGGTTAAAACGACATAATAATTTCTATTCAATTTCTATGATAATGGCGGAATCGTTTTTCTCTGACACTCTTTTGATCAAACTCACTAATTACTAACGCTCTACGCTATTTTAGTATATTTTGTGAATAATGTTTTCGATCGTTCATTCGTAGTTCACGCATGTCATATAATAACATACTATGAGTTCCCTTCTAATGAATCTAAGTACTAGGCTGATGGTAATATATAAGATTATACTTAGGACTGTAAACCTACAATAAGCGGAGAAAGTTCTTAAGTTTTATTTAGGAATATATGATAAAATGTTTTATGTACACTTGACCAAGAAGCCGATGACTAATGATTGGATCAAACTGTCATTTTATGGCACACGAATAATAAACTTTATGTCTTGATTGTCAGATCTGAACTTGATAGCTTCGTGGGCAAGCGTAACATCGACGACCTGGACCAGCCGTTCCCGTATGCCGCCAAGCGATTCTACAACCTCTACGGATCCAACTACCTTGATACCCCTGTGTAAGTTTACCATCATATACTTAAATTTCTTTTAAGTGCCTAAGTTCCTCCCTTATTCTCGGTTACATACATATATGAAAAAATCGTTAATCGAATCCGATTTGTTTGTTGAGATTAACACGTTCAAACTTTACAATTTTATTAAATACGTAATTATGTCATATTTTTTATCCCTTGTAAATTGCGTTTGACAAGGCAATTAATTTAAGTGATTTGGATTAAAGGTTTTACGCATTCTTTTAACCTTTTATGAATTTAACATCGTATGTGTTTGACAATACAATATTGTACGTTATTTAAATGTAAAACAGGGATACCTATCGTTCTTACTTAATTATAATATTGATTGGAAAAAAGGACGATGTTAATTTCCGTGTTGAAAAAGAACATAAATAAATTTCTGCATATGTGAAATAAATATATTTTAGCTTTATAATTTACTTCCGTTCGTAGTGTTAGGATTCTGAGACTCGATAACATTTGTTATAAATTTAACTCGCTAGATAATAATCATTAATGTTTCTGTTATCATATTTTTAAGTTTTTTCAAAAAAAAATCATATAGTTTCTCTTTATAATATAAAATTATTTTTTGTTACAGTTCCAACTTCGACAAGAAGCGATACAGACCCGACTACCCCATGGACGAGATCGACCTATCTCACTTCCCCATCGGTTCCAAGAGATCCATGGCCTTCAACCAAAACCGACCCCTCCGTTAAAACAACCCTCACACAACCGATCTAAAGTATTACTTCAGTCAGCTTTTAAAAATCGCATTTTATTAAGATCTTTAACTTTATAATTAATATTTTTTATCCCAGTCATATTTTTAGACAAACTTTCTCATTTTTTTATATATGTATAAAGTTCCCACTATCTCTATATGAAACTATAATACCTCTATGCACAAGGTTAATCTAGTCTTATAATATAATCTTGCTTGATGTTATTGTTATTTCTATGTATTTTATATTTTAAATAGATTTTACATTGATATTAAGAGAGAGAGAGGTTCAATCTTCTATTTAATTGTTCTTAAGTCATACTAATCTTAAAAATGTACCTGTTCTTTTTATTTATTCTAAATTTTTCATGTTTACTTTAAATTATTCTAGAAATTATATTATTTTTACTACAAATAAAATGAAAAAACTGAAAACATTTTTTATTCCATTCCCTATGTCAGTTACGTTTATGCTGTAGAGAATTAGTACCCAGTAAAAAAGTTTATCTATAATAAGGCAAAGCATTATAAATGTTAAAGTACAGTGTTAGAAAGAAAATCAGACACTGTGCCGGTGTACTAGCGGCACGGCGGTTCAGTACGGTGCAACACTAGCCTTACTGAAATGTCGACGTTTATGTCTCCTCACTAATCATTCTGACACCTGATTTTGTAACGAAAGCGCGCTATTCGCGCCAAATCATTCTAACTAATAGTGTTTAGAAATAGTGAAGAGATGAAAAATAGCAAACAAACTGATGAAATCGTTTTTTTTTTAAATCACCTAGTTTCTTTGAAAAAAAACTTCTATGTTTTCAACAAGCTAGATATTTTTACGTGTAACTTTAATTTCTCTAATATGACTAACTTTTAATTATAGAAGTACAAATAGAAAATAATATGTGATACTATCCGTCGTCAAATGACTAGCGGTTTCAAGTAATTAAAGTTAAGAGAAGTGAATTTATCGCTTTCTAAGCAACTAAGGTGACAATAATTTTAGGAAACTTTGACATTATACGTAGGAGATTATTTATTTATTTATTAACTCTTAATGCTATCATACTACATAAAAAATGACAATTAACTAATTTACAAAGCAAGGGCGGCCTTATCTCTACAAGCGATTATTATCATTAACTTATTCTCTTCTGTCTTTAGTGGAACCTACTCAAAAAAATAAAATTGGTAACTAAGCAACATTTCTTATTTTATTCTTCAAAGTATGCAAACTTTTTTTAGTTTAATTCATTGGAAATAGGACAAGTCCCAGGAAAGTCTAAAAGGTGGACATAATACCCAATTCGTGGCACTCAACTTCAATCAATTAAACCATTTTCTATTAACGCAACTAAACACAGCTAATTTTCAAATGATAAAATAAAATTTACACAGAAAATAATGAAAAAGTTCATCAGTATTATAAACAAATAATAGCAGGACCTATAAGGATTAAGAACTTTTATGTAATAATTCAGTTACATAAGGATATACATGGTATAATTCTAACAGTCGGTACCGACATCTTTAAGGGATTAGCGTCCGATCGATTGCATTTTT